AAGTATAATTAAAAATATTACAAATTAACAGTCCACTGTTATGAATTAAATATAATAATAATCTTTAATATATATAGCACCTTTACTGTTAGTAAGCTAAATACAAACATTAGAGAGATATTTTAACAATGGATTACTTTGATATATCAGCTGATAGTTATTTTTAGGACTTTTATCACTAATGTTGTTTATATTCTATCTATGAAATAATAGAATGTAACCATTAAGATTATAAATTTGAAAAAGTGATATCCAGATTAATAAATGATTGTATGATAGCTTCAATAAACTGGAATTACATTCAGTTTATTTGGTGTAACATCTTGATCAATAAGAAAACACTTAAAACAATGTACACTAATTACAGTTCTATGATTCACTCATGTGATTTATTCTTTCTTTGGTAATGTTATTTCATTTATTTATTTAGCAGTAATACTATAATTATCAATATAATCTTGAAAATGTGGCTTTTTGTTTGCTGTTTATTATACATTTTCTACTACTACTTCTTCTTCTTCTTCAGCACATATGACTGATAGGAGTCAAAAGGTAAACAAAAAATATTAATGAGTATCTTATCAACGTGTGGGCAAGGAAAATAATGATTGGTTGTTTTACATAGTCTAACAGGTATTAGCTGATTTATATATTTTCTTATTTTTATTGTTATTGTCTTTGTTGTTGGTTTTTGGAGTAGAAATATACTCACGTTCTAGTCAGTTTAGTCACATATTCTTGATCTAAGTTGTGTTGAAGTTTTGTAGAATAGACACTGGAACGGTATCTAATGTAGATAAGGTGAAGTAACTTCCCAATCGTGTAGACAAGGAAAACCAAACGTTATAACACGTATAAAAGTGTATTCTTACATTTAAAAAAAGTTACATGGGATTGGTTTTATAGGGAATGTTATCTTATTCAGAAAACTGAAATCACAGCTGGAACCAAAATGAATGTTAAATTGGCTTTCTTCGGTATAACTACTTAGATCGGTTTCAGTAACATGGCTACGACTTTGAATTACTCATAAATATTTATTTGCTCTATTAAAATTATTCTTGCTGACAACATAAAATTGTTAGTTTATTAAAAGGTGATATTTGTCACTAAGTGACATCACCTAGAGTATTAACAAATAATATATACGGCGCACAAAACATCCCGTACTATGTAACCAAATCACATGGCACTACAATGATTTTAATAATATAAATATAATTTGTTATAAAGTTCTAAATTTTATACTGACACACAAAGATAGATGATGAAAATAAGAATTTTATAAATGTTATCTGTAGAATGAGAAGGATAAAAAAATAGGAAAGTAACCTATTTCATACTACAAGTCAATCGTCTGATAGTCATCATGTGAATAGAATCACTAATTAATGGGTTATAAGTGAGTAGTATCAACTGTAACTCGAAAGTAATTATTATCATAAACCAACATTACGTGAAGCAATAGATGACAATTCACTACTGTTTCATTCCAGTATAAAACTACTCAGTACAAATAGTAGTTGTTTCTGTTGCTGCAGTTTGGATCCGGAAACTTCGTGTTTACAGGAGACAGTACTAGTACGTCATTGACATGAATGATCATAAAAATCTAATAACATTTATCTGGACTTTCTTTTAATAGGAAAAAGTGTGTTGATTGTATATCCCCGTTTTTATGTCTAACGTGGTGTCAGTCTGAACAGGTTTCAAGTGTTCAAAAGATTTTATCGACAGTTTAACGTTAAAATATCATCCGAAACATTTGAAAAAATACAGTTACACTTATGTTACAGACACCTACGTGATTCCAGAGCGTAATTTACCTGGACTATTACCGAATTCGTTACTACTGCCTTTAGCGATTCTCTTTCTGACCAATATTTATTATCAGATTTCATACGTTTATAACTTTCTTACATCTCTGGATAATCAAAACCTAGTCTATTTATCACCTCTAAATTAAATATATGCTCAATAACTCGTAACTTGTAAATACTATTTAAATATGGGGAAACATTTGAAGAATTTGGTAAGAAATTGATTACTGGTAACACTCAACTGAATCATTGAGACTAAAATAGGTCTCGTATACATTAAAGATATGATATCATGTCTTCTACTTCTACATGTTTGAAAAAAAGTTGTTTCTTACGTATTACTGAAGTTGTAGTAAGCGAGAACACCAGTGAGGACAATCGAGTGTATTTGTGTACAAAATTATAGAATGTCGTAGTAAAATCAGAGAAAAATATAATCAATACTTCATTTGTAAAATCTCAATAAATCGTCTCAAACTTGATTGTTCCTTCTTTTACACACCAACTATTCTCTGTTCTCATTCTCTTTTCTTCGATCTTCTTAACATTCTGCCCCCAGGCATTTCACTTTCGATTGGCAACACATACTAATCACATCTGTCGACATCAGTAGCACACACCACATAGTTGGTGTTTTAAATTGTTTGAAGTTGCTTGATTTGTCACAATTTTTACTGCTTACCAACATTCCAAATCTTCCTCTTACGAAATGTGCTGATTTTCCGCTTCATTCATCAATGAATATATCAAATTAGTTGTTTTAAGCAAATCTCCTGCCAGAAATACGGAAAAAGATAGAAATAATTCCACTGCCAAGGAACTTTTGCGCTTTAGCCCGATGGAATCTGCTTCTCCTTCTCAGAAAACAATGAAAAAATGATCGCCACATTAGATTCCGAGTTCTAATACATATGGATTGCTTACCAATACCACGAATGCTATTCTTGTCCTGGATTATAATTCAGCACTTGCCTTGGAAAATAACTCAGAATATGTTTGATGCCTATCTCAAGGTTACATTCTAAACATTAATTTTGTTCTTCGTCACCATTATTAACACACGAGTACGTGTGGCTGAATAACTTTATACTGTGCTTAGAGGATTATATTCCACTTTTTGATAAATGAGGCTTGTGTGCCACAAGAAACTGTTTTTCTCTTTTCCATCACTCCAGCATTGCTCGAAAGATATATGATCTACATAACCATCATGTGCCGCCCGTCACCAAGACAGGTCCTTAATTGTAGGCTGTCTGAACCGAACTTAGTTCGTTAGTCTTAGGGCAAAAGGAAATATATGGGAAGCTGCGAAAGCTTTTGTCTTCCAGAAAGAGTCAAATAACTGCAAATTGTATGTTACGTTTATGAGTGCACACGTGTACTGTTTTAAGTCTTTTGCTTCCAGTTGATATAGAGTATTAATACGTTCAGTGACTGAACGTATTCTGAGGTGTCTCTAGGTAGCCGGAAGAATCTTGTAGCCGGGGTGACGGAAAGAAGAACCTGAAAATCCCTACATAGTATTTCGTTGGATAGTATAATGGTCAGTTTGTTTCTTCCTGTCCTATATTTTAACCTTTATTTAGGTCTCTTTTTAACCAAACTTTATGTTTTTCTCAGCTCAAACATCAAAATTGGATATCCAACTCCGTAATCCGGACCACTCTTCTATCCGAGTACCTACTGTCAATAGGACCAGTAAGCAAAAATTAAAAAGAGAAAAAGTTGACTTAAGCTACCGTGGTGCCGAATAATAGGAATAAACAACATAAAATCGGTGGTGACATAGCATGCTCTTGCCTTGTTGGAAGCGTAGACTCAGCGTCTGAATATAATTTCTGTAAAGGCCGTGTTCACTGTCGCAGTGATAGAACAGCACCTTACCAGTTCTATGGGATTATGCCAAGTCCACCTTTTCTCGTACACCTGCTCACGGAGTATTAAAAAATTCACCGTAACAATTAAGAGAAACGAAGCATGAAACCCCACTGGAAGCGAGCGTACTAATCATCACAAGTATATACGAATCGACAAACACAGGCTCAACCAACACAGGCAACCATAGTAGCTACAATCCAAGGTCATACACAGATGAAAACACCAGTTGTTGTTAATACCCATATATTTGATAATGATAAGCAGCGCTGGATGGGTGTTGGGAAGTGTAATGGTTGAAGCATAACTCCCGAAACGGCAAAAATTTAGACAAAGACGTTAGACGAAGCTACTTGGTTTTTTAGTGTTTCAATGTTAAAGAGTATCATATTAGAAAGTATGGAGCGTTGGGACTAATACTGTACAATCCTGAGAGATTGCGTAAGGTACTTCCGATCGAGGTAAGCCTGAGATTCAGTACATGGCACAGACGAAATTTGACTGAGATCCCAAAGACCATCGGTTGAGCTATCCACTCAAACTCGAGCTAGGGAAGACAAACTATAGTGTGTAACTGGCCACGCCATGTGGTCAGCGAACGCTCAAGAGCCAACCAGCGTGGTAGGTCACAGGGTACTTGAGCTAGTACTTAACAGTCAGGTTGATATTCACATACATGATATGCAACATTAGCCTCAGCTATCACTTAACATAGGCCTTCCCTTCACTACCATAATATGTCTAGGCGACATCGTCCGTTGAACTTCACGACCATTACATTTCCGCGTCTGGCAGCTATAAACTTCAGAAACAGAGAGAACATAAGTGAGACCTTTCGGGATTGTAAAGCTCGATTATCAGGCGCCCTAGTCACGTAAAATGTTGTGAAAGGCAACCAAGGCCAATTAGAGGACGGCAAAAATACCCAATAAAACACTCCCTGTTGTGGATTAACCTTGATCTGCAATCCACAGAAGAGAAAAAGAAGATTTAGGTCTCGCTAACAGTACAAACGATACGAGCGGTAGATCCACAACGACCAGTTATGACGGAACTGGCCAACTCATTTCAAATACCTATCTTCCTAAAAACCAAAATCCCAACGCCGGTGCAGATCAGAACCAGAAGATAATAGTAAGTGGTCCAAGAGGTCAAGAGGTCCTGAAGAAAAGATTCACATTATTTAAATGCGGCAACGTTCTCTTAGAACACAAAATCAAGTTCTGATATATTATTTCGTCCCTTAGTGCACAGTTTTAGTATTGAACAAAATCTGTTGCCATAACTACAAATACAATTTCTGTTAGTCCATATTTCAAAAAATGACAAATTGACTCATAGTTTCAACTATCATTGACTGTTCGCATTATCAAATGTAGGTTCATGCTATTTGCTTGCTTATTCATTTGCTTACCTTTTTTCAAATTTGATCCTACAGATTCAACCCAATCTCCTAATATCAGGAAAACGTTTATCCATTTTGGGTGAATTTTGTGGAAACCCCGAATTGGACTTTGGGGAAAAGCAACATGGTTTTTGATAGATTCCTAATAATGTCTGATCAATTAGATTAATCTCATCATAAGAAAAGATTCGGATATATCCTTGGAACGAATTCTTCCTGTAAATGTCATTTTCGAGGATGTAAGCTGAGTCTTTGATCAGATCTTACATCGGTTTTTGGATTAGACTAGAAACGTTTGTAGATGGTTCTGTAGACAAAAATTAATCTTTAGTTAAACTTCTGTTAATGAGGAATTATTGGTTTATTTAAAACATTGTCTTTTCATTCGCAAAAAGCACCTCGTCAGACTGAATATTTTGTTCTATTGGGACGATTCCAGAGCATCTTCTGTCTTACTTCATATAAAAACCTACCAACTACGGCAAATTTATTTATCTTATTGTTTACGAAAGACGTCAAACTGGTAAAACGTGCGCGCTGAAGTTGGTAAGATAGAAGTAAACGCATATTTACCTGCTCAGGTTAAATGAAAGAATCGGTGGTCATCCAAATCCAACAGAAAATGGTTCCAGCCTGAAGGTATTAGTGATCTTCTGTTCCAAGACACGGAAGCCCGTTAAGCAAAAGCTTCTTCTATTCCGTCCACAACCATTTGAACCATATGAATTAGGGGTAAATTTTTGCAAATATGTAGTGATGTCAATCACCAGCTGTGACTTCACCTGAAGATATAGGTTATAACAAGTTGAGAGTCATAGCAAGAAACGACCATAAAACTACAAATAACCGAAGCTGGTTGTCTCAGAGGCTTTTAAATCTTGTAGAGAACATGCAAAGCATTTTGGAACTTGGGTGAAGATATTTTCAAAATAGTCACCTAACAAATGTGGAACCATATCCTAAATGTATGAATAGGAAAGCGAGCTTATGTTTTAAATATAAAGTGGATAAGCTGTAGTTCATTCAAAAGCAACGACTAAACTGGCAAATGGTCTGTTTTCTTATGTGAAGCCTTTATTATATCATTCGAATGATAAACAGACAGATGTTTTTTAGTTGGACCTAAAAATACTGTTACTTTTTGACCCTTGTTTCTTTCGTGATAGGTAAAACTTTGTATTGGGAAGAAGTTATTTCCTGAAAAAACTAGCAGCTAAAATTTATGTAGATTTATAGTGAATCCTATATTCCGTTTTTTCTTATAATTACGAAGAATTTCCAATGTCTTATACAATTTTTCGACTTTTACTGTAAGTTACATAGTTACTGTCTAAAAGTGTGATTTCAAGCAATCAACACATTATTTAATATTATTGCAAATGGTTGATGACGAAAATAATATAGTCAGCTCATATCCGTGTTTAAAAGCAAGTTTTACTCGCATATACTTCGGATTTTAACGTACGAAGTGTAATATAATAAATTTTTAATACTAAAAGATAATTTTAAGCGTGAGTAAATGTTTTTTCACAACCACCTTCATTAATAGGTTATTCCATTAAGTGGCTTGCATCGCCATAATCAAACAATCGGTATTTAGCACCTGAAAACGATTATTACGTTTGTTTGATTACAGCAAGATAGAGGACACTTATATCAACTCTAAAACAGTGTCTGGAAATATGAATATAAATTTTTATTTACTTTTAACCGTGATATTTTACATGGCTTTATTAGCCTAAACATTTATGGACACATCGAAGAATATTCTATCATTGTATAATTGTTTGTTAATTTTGATACTCATAACGTCAATTATTTATACATTATTCACTTCAAGTTTTAATAATGATACAAGAATTCACTGATGAAATCGTTCATGGGGTTCAATGTTATTCACAATGTTCAGAAACCAAGTAAGCGAGATCATACTTATCATAATAGTGTAAATTATACTTCACTTCTAATCAATTGCTTATTAACGACTAGGTCCTAGAAATCTTATAATCAAAACCGTTAGAACTAGCGTGCAGTATAAGAGCTAAATGAAAATGAGATGAAAAGCTATCCGTATCTGATTTTAAAATGATCTTTTGGCAATTTTAAGTCAAAACATAATAAAAATGATCTCTTACACTTCGTTTACCTATAGGTGGATAAACTTTGTCGGATATGTTTCAAACTGATGGAGTGATAACCACTTATGAGAACTATACTAGTAAATAATGAAGAAACGGCTACTAAAGCTGTAAGCAAAATAAAATACTTAGTTTTGGTATAATCGTTTTCAACAATAATCCGTAGCTAACATGTAGTGCACGATACTCAAAGGTCAATTTTGTCTGATATCAAGGTTACTTATTAATTTTGTCAAACTTTACCACTTGAATTAAATGCTTCATTTGTTGCGAATACATCTAAATCAGTGTGGTGTATCCGTAGACACACTCACTCGATCATCTTCTTTATGAGGACTTGACATGGGATGCTGACACTACTTAAAATTTCAGGCCACTAAGTCAATTATAATCAAGAAAATGATTTCAGAGAAAGATTATTTTTAACTTGAAATATGGATTTATTATAAAGAAGAATTTATTTCAAAACAAATTGCTGGGACGCATACGTAATCAGAACAAATTACATATAAAACTCGCTTTGACTACTAATAAACTACAAAGTTACTAAATAAGTGAATTTGAAAACTAGGTTTACTCTAAAAATCGACGGTCGGTATTAAACTTTAAGCTGGTTTCAGAAGCTTGTTTACTAGCCACTATTCTCCCTAAGTTATAAAGCTAAAGAAATCTTAAGTATCACCAGTATGTTTTTTCAGAAGCGTTACGGTCTCATGGTTATCAGTGATTTACTTCCTTCTTTGCAAAGGTAACTTATAATTAAGAATGCAATGACAGTTATCTTGCAAGTCTTCAAATTTCAAAATCAAACTGAAAGTATGAGTTTTAGATAAACACAAGTTCTACTGTTTTACTAATTTCATCTTTAAAATCAATATGTCGAGCCTAAGGACTCTTAATGTTAGGGAACTAGAACCCTGAATAAAATAAAACCAGAACACTTTTATATTCTCAATTCCTGGGGTGATTGTTTTTCAAATCATCACAATGGAATGAATCATCAATGCATAAACCTGAATAAAAGGCGATATTTTGTTATGGTACATAAAGTGTAAACTAATGGAGAAAAAGTCATATAACCAAGATGAATATGAGCAAAAGCGTAACAACAAAAACAAATTTTTTCGTAGATAATGACAAAGAGAATACATTTTATTTAATTGTAATCACAGATCTTGACATTCTCGAAACCTCATACTGGTTAGGTTTTACACCTATGCATTGGTCAAATCAATTTTCAGTGGTTCGTTGCATGTATGTTTTGTAAGCCAACTGCCCACCAAATATGTTTTCCTGCTCCGAATATTTATAATTCCTGACTTCATTCTTGACTCCAGTCTGAGCGGAAAATATATTAAAACCATCTACCATCAAATACTAATGATCTACATATACCTTACACTTCATTTCTAAAATAATATTCATCAGTAATTCATCTGAACAAAATGCTTGCAATTATATTTCTGAATTAGTTTCAAGCCTACTCATATAGCTCGAAAATATATCCATTTTGTATCTACTTTAGCATGCATTACATTCATTTTGTAACGATGCATAATTACCTATTGTTCTAAGTTTTTTCTCAATAAATTTACACAATTAATAATCTTACAGATCATTTGTCGAGTTACAAATGCAAACGGAATCTTATCAAGTGTTTCATCGTGGTACGCAATCGAGACGGTATAAAACTCAAGAAGTAATTGCTTTTCTTGATAGTGATTTTGATGATTTCTCTCTAACTTTCAGCTTCAAACAAGCTTTTGTCATCAAGATGAAACACTGCATAATGACATACTTACTAACAACGATAAGTTGACTGAAGAAACAAGAATATTATGTTTTCTTAAACGTACTGAGCCAATCGTTACAAAAGAGATACAAAAAAATATCCACTCCAAAGTGTTTAGACAATCACAGTCAAGAAGACTATTTTATAGAAATAATGCATCGGTGAAACATACACTCATTCTAAATGAAGCAAAAGAATCCAAAGTAGTGTGAATACAATAAATTAATGAATAACTATTTGTTAGTTATCTGTTACAGGATTATCTTGGAACTCTAATGGGACACTATTAGCGATATCGTATCCTTTTTTCTTTATTTTAAACCTAATTTATTAGCTGACAATTTGTTTCAAATGGTAGGGTGAGCTTTTGACAAAGGAATAATTAATAAAGAAATATGAGGTAGATTGAACCAAAAACTGCTGAGGAGTCCCACAATAGAATGAAACGGCTGTCCAGTGCTTCCAGCTTTTCCATGGTGGTCTAGCTTTAATTGACTCATGATCTCAACAATTGAAATTATTAAAATCCCTACAAAGCCCCTTCTGATAATAAACAAAAACATCTAGTTATAATTATGGAAAAGGTTAAATTAGGTGTCACTTAGTTATTTAGTGGTTCGAACGTTGGACCTGTTTTTTTACAACTAAAATGTAATCTTGCTTTAAAACTAAGCCAGTCGTTTACCATACGAATGCTTTACTTCACCACTTTAACATAACGTATCACAGATATGGATCATTGTGTCATACTGATTGGTGTACACATAATGGCATGGCTGCACTTTGGAATGTGTCAAATGAAACATTGGTAATCAATACTCCTCAGCAAAAATATGTAACAGATACTTGTCTAATGTGTATTAAATTTCACCCAACAATTCCATCTTTGTTAGCTGGAGGGACATTTACAGGTTAGTTTAAATGCATACATATATATATATATATATATATCCTCTATAATTAGTAAGTGAAGGGTATCTAGAAATATCATGTTGAGATTGAGAAGACGCCTTTTTGCTCATCGAAAAGAATTACATGTTATTGAATATTATAAAGAGCGAAGTTTAATGGCAAAGTTCTATTGGTATGTTCATCGACCTCATTAAGAAGTGCAGAAGAAGTGAGCTATTAGAATGTCTTTACAAGTGGCCAGAAGACTACCCTGTTGATACTCAGTCGAATTCCATAAGCTGTTTTTCAGTTAGGAAATAATTTTCGGGACTTACTTTATTTTAATTTTATGCATATGATACTGCTTATAAAGAAAATAAAGACTTCATAATTAAACCATTCAACTCAAAAAATTAAACACTACTACCGTATTTTTTAAACTTCTGCGCTGATCGAGTCGTTTGACTTTTAAACTAAGTAAATTTATATCTTATCACATCATAGCTATTGCTTCATGATTAAGTGGTTTGATAGGATTGGTAGGCTTTCCAACACGCATCAGATGATTATGGTCCTGAATTAGGTTAGTCACACTTTAATTATTTTCTTAACTTGTCTTTAGATATAATGAAAGTGAAAATAACAGGTTATACAAGAAAAACTGAATTCATTCTACTAAAAGTCTGCAGATAGCCTAAAAATTCAGGACCTATTACAATTAAATATTAAAGGTTTGGCGCACTTTAGTTAGTTGATTTGAGATGGGTATTTGAAAAGGAGCTAAATATCAAAGTAAGTGGAACAGGATATAGGACGTCTTACTGAACATAGTCAGAATTGATGCTTATTTTCATGTGTGAAAAAACATGCGGTTATGAAGAACAGATAATCGGAGCTTTAAGAATAACTTCATTTTTGCTCTTAAAGTTTTGTTGGCTTTGCTTTGTTCATATTTATTAAGGGAAAACTGAGTGTTGTGAAATAAGTGATTTTAAAATGACAGGGTAACTCACATTTAATCGCATGAAAATAAGCATGCTCTCATGAAACTGATTAATATTTTGTCTTTTACCTATAAGAACCTTATCACTAATCGTAAAATAGAGTGATCAAGTAATTTCAAATTACACTGATATATAACCTTTAAAAATCACTTAATTAATATGACGTTTTATGAAGACCAAAGAGTAATTTTTCGACGAATTCCACATAAAACCTAGTTAATCCTCTCTGAAAGTGCAACTAGCTAGAAAAGATCTAGATATCTTGGTTTCCTGTGGTTTAAAATCATATTCCAACTACAACTGACCCCCGAAATAGTATTTTCCAAGCCCATTTTAGCAATGGGACTTTCAACTCAATTTCCTACAGTTCTATTTGACCTAGTTTCATATAAATAGTTTTTCCTTCTTTACTTCAAAAGAATAAGAGCAATCTGGAGAGTAACCAAAAGGCAGGCAATGAAATCATTTAGAGGACTCAAATTCAAACCTTACGATGAACGCCTTAAGTAACCAAATCCTTATCCTTTAGGCACAAACTATCCAAAACATCCTTTGATGCCCTCTATTTCAACACAAACCTTACGAGAATACTCGGAAGCAAGAGGCAAACCAGATTGTAAGCATACTTTTTACTCCTTACGAGTAGTCAGGTGCGGGAATTCTGCACAGGTTTTCATGGTCCAAACAAATTCCCATCAGTCGTTCACTTGAAAACGTAGCATATCCTTAATGACTAAACATAACCTATGAGTAACTTTTATTTCTGTTTGTTTGATAACCCATGATTCTTACCTGGAGGCATCAGTGATCTGTTGCTACTAGACACGAAAGCTCGTTAGGTAGAGACTTCTGTGCATTTCACAACTGCCTGAACCATTAAGTTTCCTCTGAATAACTACAGTTAATGAATCACTAAGAAATACATAATACTCAGCAACTAGTTGGTGTATCCAAACTCCCTCATTAAGAGATAAACCGAACTATATATAAAACTCTAAAAGCTATCAAGCTAAAATACATGGATAAATTGTTTCCTTCGGTGAAATAAAAGTCTTGTAAAATCTCAATAAACAAATTGACAGTCATACTTTACAGACTCCATCAACTAATAATTAAAACAATATCTATTACAAAAATATTGTTATTTCTTTACAGTCATAATGTTATTATATAATTCTTGAATAAATTGTATTATATTAATGTAAATATCATTTTATAACTGTATAATTAATGATAAATAAATGCAGGTAATGAGCTTTTGAGAGAATGAATGACACCACAGAGTGAGAAGTATCAAGTAATTTTTAAATTCAGGATGGATGGGAAAATGAATGTGTTTGGCTTACTTAAAGACTGTAACTGAAGATCATAATTAAATCAATGATCCCATCTAGGTAATCTACATTTCTAAATACTACTCAGTGCAAAAGCCCATAAACCCATGGGCAGATGTCATGTCTTAGTTTAGCTGTCTTTAGTCGTCCTCTACTTCATTCAAACTCTAACAACTATTACATTTCAGGTAGAAGGTGACTGGGGTCTGTTTTACGCATCTTCAGTCAATGAGTTGCACAGCTAGATTAATCGATTTTAGGTTAGCATCAGTACTCCATGGATAAACTCTACTACGCTCATTTGTTGTTACAATACCTCAGGCATGTATTAAAGATACAAAATAACTCTAACATCACCTATTATTTAAACACATCGTCAAATCACTTCTTGTTTTTTGCGTTGTTTATCTACCGTTGTCTAGGAGATTTAGTCGTCTGGAATCGTACCAACGAAAATGATCATCTATTAACCAGTATCGGAAGTATGCACAGTGGTCATAAGGATTGTATCAATCAAATCAGTTGGATACGAGATAGTCTAGAGTCTAACTTACAAAATCTAACTTCCGAAAAAATCAGTCGGTATACAACAACTTATAGGTTATTAAGTTCAGGAAGTGATGGAAGAATTGTTTGTTGGCGAATTGATCTGTGTCACTTAGGAAATGTGAACTGTGTTAAGATGTAAGTGGTTAGTTTTGATTGAATATATCTTTATATTTCTTTGCATTTTTGACCAATTGCTATGACGTGCAATTTTTGCAAAGGATTTTTCAACAAAGACTAACATCAGTTGAAGAACCATTATAAGCCTGGTTTAAACTCCTGAAATAATGTTCACATGTGACTGTATACCATAACAAATCTGAGACCTACTGGTATCGCAGCTTGAAGACTACTGATTTGCAGTCTTATGATATTCGTTTTTATATTCAGGAGTATTGTGATAAAACGTTATCGCTACCCAATGATATCATTAAGTCACACCACCTATTCAATTGACTTTGTAAGTCGCTGTGTTTTGATAGGAGGTTGATAAATCCTCATATACCACCTAAGCAAGTAATTTCAATTACACTGTATCAAATCCATGGCACTTCAATATATTTTTTTTGGATAACATATCAATCTACAGATATCCTTTGTTTATCTTTTTGATCACTAATTTATAGTTCATACGGAATATATAGTGTCTTTGATAACTAATATAAAATGTTTATGGAATCAACCAATTTAGAACTTTATTTATGATTATCTCAGTTCGTGGGTTTTATTTTTTCATTGATGTCAAAATTTGTAAATTAAATGTATAATATAAACATAAAAATTTTATGTAAACTTAACGTCTAATAGTTTTGAAAAGAATGTATGGCGTGACTAAAATTTATGGACAAACCAATCAGGTATAGGATAACAGGTCTCGGATTTTGGTGCGAAATCCACCCCTCCATTAGGCTAAATAGAGTTTTGGCATTATAGCTGATACCAGTTCGTTATGAAAACCATAAATCTAATTTTTAACCCTAGCCATCAACTGTAAATCATAACTCTAGTTCCTCATACTGGTTTATAACCCTCATTTGGTCCTAGTTATTAAGTGAACACTCTCGAGGTCACTTTAGCGTCGCTCAAATGTCGTCCATAAATTGTAGTCTCACCATATTTTCTTATCAACACTTGTAAGAAGTTGTCTTGATAAGTATAAGTTTTGTGATCATTTAGTAATATAAAAGTCATAATAATATGGTAGTTAATAATTCTTTACAATCACAAATTATTTTTTCCCTAGTTCTATAACTCAGTAAGACATGAAATACTGAGGTAAGTGGTCGCTTCCACTGGTTATTTGATATTAATTTATCAATTTACTCGATTTAATAATAATATGAATATGTTTACAATTTGATTTCTTATTATAGTTTTCAAATAAGACATAAAGATCAGAGTCCTTTACCAATATCCAACCATTTTAATTCATTAAAGAAATGCAGTCTCTTTCGGTCAGATCTATCCGAAACAATAAATAGTGACAGAGCAGTTAATATAACTTGTATTTCATTAGCTAAAAATGATCCAGAAAAATTTGTTGTTGGAACAGAAACAGGAGGACTATTAATATGTCAAATAAATTCTGTTAACTGGAATGAAACATATAGTGAGTATCACATTATTACACTTAACAACATTTACAGAATTCATTTACAATATACTTTTGAACTTGAAGAGTTTATTTATTTCGTACATGTCTGAAGATGTTATTTAATGTTCCGGTTAGAAAAAAAATATTTTTCACGCTGATTAACATTAAACTAGACAAAGGAAAAAAAACAGTCCAAAACTCGAATTATTTCCAAAGCTTCTTTATTGAATGTCTTTCATTAGGTACATGAAACGCTTTTGTTTACAACTACCAAGTATTTTACAGTGGTAACTTGAACCGATGTATTTGTATACCAGGTTCTATGTATTTTGTGACTAACTGAATTTTGGTCGGATGTTTTGATGAGTTGTCATCAAAATTGTCTATGTCGAACGGTATGCATTAAGACTGTTTAGTTTCGTTATTTGAGTTAACTCTTTGATAGAGGTATATTTCTGGGTATAGTAATTTGCCCCCACAACATTCTAAGTTTTATGAACGACTTAAGCAAATATACAAGAATGTTTGAACCATATTTCTTTCCCTTTTAGGACTGGTCTAAATCAACGTCTTGTTGAAAATAACAGTATTTCATAGTTAGTCACATGATCATGCTCTCACAAATACAACAATTTAATCATTTTATGATATAATAAGCTGAGGAATAAAAATTTTAAATAATTAAAATAAGCTCACGATATATATTAATTGAATTCAACTTTCATTTCAGAAGAATCCTTGGAAGAATACATACAGTCACCGGTTAGATTTTCACTTGCTCGTCAAGATGGTCCGATTTATTCAGTAGATTGGAGTAAATTCTATCCCAATCTTATTATAGCTTGTGGGTTCAATCATTGTATTCAGGTATGAATAAAAAAGATAACCAGTTGAAAAATATGGTTAATGTAGAAACTTTTAAATCACCGAAATGTAAATAATAATTCAACATACAATACCATGTTTTGCAAAATGGCATGGTAAAATTAGTGTTATTTGCAACTCGAGATATTCATGCTTGTTCGAGTTAATCTGATTATTAATTAAAGTTTTTGTTTAATTATTAGTATTTATGAGAGGGAAGCCTATCATTACATTTTTAGAAAGTTTTAATTTCTGAGATTCAACATTACAACGATTTGCAGTGAATTTTTATACCTTAATATTGAACAACTCAGTTTGAAGCTAACTTTCTATTCTAAAAACATGGTTTCAAGTATACTGTTTATGCATAAACATTGATTGACATCAAAGTCGGCAACATTGTATCCCTTTAGATTGTAAAACATCCTTTTATCTTGTTTGAAAAATGAATAGAATTCAGTCGTCAAGTCTGTTTTATATGATAAGTACTAGGAATTGGTTAACCACATATCTCATTTTTTTATTTTATCCAATTAAAAAGTTCTGGTTTGTTTTACTATTCCTTAATTCCATTTCATTTGTTACAGATAAATAAAGCTAACAACCTAATTTGTATGAAACCTGCTTCCGAATTAAGCAAACGTTAATTTGTTTGTTAGATAGCTCCAGGTAGTCGAGAAAAAAAACGGGGACAAAAGTTACATGCCAATAGCCACTTGTCATCAAGATATACCTGGAATTTTGAAGGAACTAATACTTTCTGTGATATTTGGATCTGTATCATTCAGATTCACTTTCTGAGACCACTGAGTTATTCAGGAATGACATATCTACAAGTGACCAGTCCCGTAGAAAAGACTGGATTCTATCGATTAGCAGTATATATATATATATATATATATATATATATATATATATATATATATATATATATATATATATATCAGAAGGGGTTTTGTGGAGATTGTATTACTTTCATTAGTTGAGATCATGAGTCAATTGAAGCTAGAGCAAATATTGAAATTACCTCAATCTCCCCAAAGCCCCTCCTAATAAAAATCGATATATGCTCACTAATGACTGACTTCAAGAGGTATATCCCGGAGTTCTGGTAAGAAGCAGTGACCAGTGGAGTTTAACCGGGTCTGTTGTGAGACAGTAACTCACTGATGACAGTGGTGGACGTGTCACTCAATTTCGTGGATTAGTTGAAGTTAGATATTAACACCACTGGATGCCGGCTCAGTGATCTAGTGGTTAAGCGCTTGTGCGCGAGACTGATAAGTTCTGGGTTCGAATCCCGCGAGGTGGGATCGTGAATGCACATTGTTGAGGAGTCCCGCAGTAGGATGAAACGGCCGTCCAGTGCCTCCAGGTTTTCCATGGTGGTCTAGCATTAATTGACTCATGATCTCAACTATATATATTACTTTCGTTACCATTAATTGATCATTCAATCAAAAATTCGGTTATAACTGAGCTAAACTAGTTGATTTTAAAATAAATTAAGTTCCATTAAAAGTTACTGTTTGACTGATATGTTTAAAATCAGAATAAAAAATGAATCCCACTTGTTCGATCCCTATGACAGGGCTTTACAGTTTTTAAGTAACATGTAACTAAAATTGTAAAGATAAAGCAATCATCCCATTATCTCAGTCAAAATATGACTTAAGAAATGATTCAAAGTATATACTCACGTAATAATATTAATGTCCCAGTTTTTAACTTTGTTTTATATACATTAAAAACAATATATCATTATGAAAAATGAAGTCTTTCCCTTTATAGTTTAATAAATAATTGAAATTTAATAAAGCAAGTCATTATTATTAGGGAATTTTAAAATGTTGAATTCTTTCATTTTATATGTTTAATTTTAGCTTTTCAATGTACTACAAAAATCTCCATTAATAAGTTTAGATCCAAATTATGGTTCAATACTTGTTGTTGAATTTTCCTCATATTTATCAAATATTTTTATCTGTATAACCGAATATCATCATATACTTATTTATGATTTAACTGGTGATGAAGAAATTAATCCAATGTACAATTATTTTAATGAAGAGAAACTGTATAGTCTTCAACCTGAACTACTGTATACATTGACATCTCAAATTGATAATGATATTCAAAGTACAATTGTATCTGCGAAACTTAATGAAAAAGAGTAAGTCACATTTTCAATGTTTTTTTAAACAAACATTTATTTCATCTTTATTTTAGTTCTAAACTTGTTGCTACTGGAAGTACAAGTGGGATTGTTTATGTATGGGATTTTGGTAATCTAATCAATGAATTATCGTTAAAAGTAATAAATACATGATAATTATACATATTTCCTAGTTCTATAATGAAGTGATTTATTCACTTATTCAGCGTTTTAATTTACAGCTTGTGAACTGGATTACTTCATCCCTTTATTCATTGTATACTTTTAGAAATGGAGTGTACGTTTTATCATGTATTTTTTAACTGCTTATTTAATGTAGCTCATTTTAAAAGTATATGTTAAGGCACTAGTATCTCAGATATACCTTTTACATGACACTCGTTAATACTTTTAGGCTGTCAGACCCAAAGTTGACGGAACGTCGTTCACTAAGCAAATCACTTTTCACGTTCGTTAGATTAACAATGCTAGTAGTGAAATTGAGATTCATGCTGGACAGTAAACTAGAAATAGGTTCATCACATGCCCCGATTCTATTTTCATTTTCAGAGGAACTACTATTGTAGTGAACGAGAACACACGTGGGGACAATCGCATGTATTTGTATACAAAATTACTGAATACCGTAGTAAAATCTGAAAAACACATAATAAATACTTCATTTGTAAAATCTCAATAAATCGTCTCAAACTTGATTGTTCCTTCTTTTACACACCAACTATTCTCTGTTCTCATTCTCTTTTCTTCGATCTTCTTAACATTCTGCCACCAGGCATTTCACTTTCGATTGACGGCACATACTAATTATATCTGTCGATATCAGTAGCAGACAATCATTAAGGCACAGTTGGTTCATGTTAATTACTTTCATTGTAAAACGGATAGGCTCAAATTCGTCTGAAACAGTTAAGAATTTAGACTTTATTACATGTCACAAATCAACACTGTTTGTTAATTTATCTTCAAAAAGTATGTTTATATTTTCAATAATTAGATAACGTGATCATTTTTCGGTGGTAAACCGAGTTAATGTTGTGTTTCTTCATTTGATTATCATATTAACGTATCAGTCAGAATGTTACGTAGACAGCAATTAAAACCAGCCGTCTATTCTATTACTTTCATAAAACTGTGGTTTGGACTGCATATTCACACTCACCAACCCCAGTTGATGAAACATTTTTCACAACTCCCTACGTTTTCCTTAATTCTTCTATACAAAAATATTTGGAGTTTCAGAAAAAACATCATTGTCTATACGAGTGCTCGTCAAGATTAGAACGAATAGTTTGACAGTAATTGAGCGCCGAGTATAGAGAAGTCATTATATGTGAAAATTATATTTGAAATATTCTCAGCGATTGAAATTTAACTAATTCCAACGTTTCGTCCAGCTAACTTGTCTGGACTTCTTCAGGGTAATAATCAAAATCAAAATTATCAAAGAAATATATAGCTTTTTAACAATCATATTTGGATGTTGATTTTTTGTAAAATAGGATAAAATGAGTCAGTTAACTAGAAATCATGTGAAGAAATCAACTACATGGAAATACTTAACTGAGTAACAAATCGTATGTGTGTGTGTAGGTATGTATGTATATGAGAGATTGATATGAAGGAATAAATAAGGTTCAAGTTCAAGGATGAAAAATTGATAGTGAAACATCGATGTACATGTCAAAACATAAATTGTATTGTTTAAAAACTCACTGAATTCTTTCAAAAATAATAACGATGCATTTGATATAAAAAACAGGTTTAAACAAGAGATGGGTTCCAAATTTACTTGTCAAACGAAATTTGCCAGGTAGTTGCCATTTGAATACCATCTTTTCGGTTCAGGCTGGTCTTGTTCGCCCATATATGCAGCGCTTCTGCTGTCAATCTTTCTTTATGGGTGTTAAAACCTTTCTGAAGTATTTTGTTCCCTTCAAAATTAATCTTGTCTCCTGTTTCTAACGCATGTAATTCTATCGCTGACTTATTTTCAAGTTCCTTTAAATCGACCGAGGATTTTGGAACATTTTTCAAGCATTGTTTGTGTTCCTTCAATCTTACATTCAATTGCCTGGATGTTTCTCCAACATAGGTAGCATTACAGTCATGACAGTTAATCTCGTTGTAGTGGCTGTGCTTCGATAATTAATCACCCTCGAACCGTTATCGTATAATCTTCAACGATGTTTGAAATCAGAAGGCAAAAAGAAGCAGCTACTACAGTTTATTTAGTAGATAATTCGGACCAGACAGCAGAGAGGCAAAATAAATGAGTAAGCGAACTACGATTGTAGCAGTAGCAAGTAGTTGTAGTAGTAGTTGTAGTTGTAGCAGTAAATGGATGCAAATGTACACATATATATATATGTATAGGAAAATGGATGAGTCAGCGAATAGACTAAGCAGTTAATAATGAAGCTAGCAGAATGAATACATGCGTAGGCGCTAAACAATGTTCAAGCATATGTATTTCATACAAGCATAATAATAAAGATAGTACAACAAGTTGTTATATCATAGATGACTTTGTCCATTAAATAGGTCAACAAAAGACCTTGACTGAACTAAACTCGATTGCACGTGAGTCACTATAATAGCTCCCCCCTGCAAACAAAGATATATGGAAAAATGTCTGTGTTTGCACAAAAAAAATAGTAAACTGAGTAGGGTAGTTACAGTCGTTTGAAAAAAAATGGTTTGTACAAAATTAAGATGAAGTTAGTGTGTGCTGTACATTTGGTTTGTGCCCGTCCGTGAGGTTATAAAAAGTAATAGCAATAAATAGAAGGAATGCGGTATTGTTTTTACATTTTAGACAAAAATTATACGTGTAAGTGTAGGGGTACATAAGATATGTTGAGTTTTATAGCGTATAACATGGAATTAGTAATGCATGTGTATACAATGAAGTGGAAGTTATAATTAATATTTAAAATAGTAGAAAATTATTAATAGAAGATTGCAGCGACATAACATAACTCTTCGACCAGACTTTGTGGTTACTGGATTCTCTTTGTTTGTGTTCGCCGATGTCGTTGATGATTGAAACTGACGTTTCGATGATTCAACGGTTTTCGCAGTATCTGTATGTACTGGCTGATCGTAGGCTTCGATGAAAGCTGGTTTGACTCGGTCGATGCTAATTACATCCGTTTTTCCAGCTTTGTCTACCGTAATAGTTTTGTCGTCTCTTCTAATCACTTTAAATGGGCCATCGTAGGCCGGTTGTAAGGGACGTTGCACATTATCCCTTCTGATAAACACATGGGTACTGTCACTTAGTTGTTTGGGTATGTACACACGGCGTTGATGTTGTCTCGGAAGCGTTATCCTTAGACTACACATATGCTGCTTAAGACGCTGTACATAGTCCGCTATATCAGTTGGGACGCTTTTACCTGCGGTGAAAAACTCTCCTGGCAGATGTAGTGTGGTTCCATAAACCAATTCTGCTGGGCAGCATTCTATATCTTGTTTGATTGTTGATCTTAAGCTCAACATGACTAACGGTAGCTTGCTGGCCCAATCGTTATTGCTGATGACAGCTGTAAGAGAAGCTTTAAGTTGCCGATGCAATCTCTCTACCATACCATTCGACATCGGATGGTAGGATGTTGTGCGGATTCGTTTGATTCCGAGTAGTTCTGTGAGTTGTTGGAAGAGGCGGCTCTCGAATTGAGCTCCTCTATCGGTTGTAATGTTGTTAGGTACGCCATAATGGGAAATCCAATGCTCTACTAGGGTTTTTGCGATAGTTTCGGCTGTAATATCTTTTATGGGCACAGCTACAGGCCATCGTGTGAATCTATCAATGCAAGTGAAAATGTAACTGAAGCCATTCGAAACCGGCAGTGGTCCTATAATATCGATATGTACGTGCTCGAATCTGTTATCGGGATGACGGAAATGACCTACTGCGGAACTGGTGTGGCGATATATCTTAACCCTCTGGCATTTTATACACGCTTGCGTCCAATCACGAATATCCCGATTCATACTTGGCCATACGAAACGTTCGCTGATTAGTTTGATGGTGGCCTTTATTCCGGGATGCGAAATATTATGCATGGTTTCGAAAATGTTTCGCCTTAGCGGCTTTGGAATAAATGGTCTTGGTTGACCTGTAGAAATATCGCAGGTGATGCTTACTTCTTCCAATGGAGTTTCTTTGAGAACTAACGAGGTTGTATTGGCAGACTTTAGTCTGTTTAACTCGACGTCGATATTTTGTAATGCTGCTAACTTGTGATAATCGATTTCAGACTGGATGAGAGCGTTGACCATCGTTCTGGATAACGCGTCTGCCACTTCGTTACTATTGCCTTTGATATACTGTATGTTGGACGTGAATTGGGAAATAAATTCTAATTGTCGGATTTCCCTCGGCGAGTAGTTGTCCTGTTTGGCGTTCAATGCTTTTGTGAGGGGTTTATGGTCTGTATATACTGTGAAAATGGTACCCTCAATCATATGTCGGAAATGTTTTATTGCCAAGTAAATCGCTAGGAGTTCTCTTCCGAAAGTACTATATCTTGTTTATGTCGGATTCAGTCTTTTCGAAAAAAATGAGCGGTTCCCATATGCCATTTACTAATTGTTGTAAAACGGCTCCTACCGCTACGTCTGATGCATCTGTCATGATAGCTAACGGTGTTTCGCTCTTTCGTCTAGTTAGTGTCACTTCTTTGGTTAGTGCTTTTTTAGCGTTCTCGAATGCTTGAATTGCGTCTGGTGATAATTGGAATGTCCGTGCGTTTCCGCGTAATGCATCTGTTAGTGGTTGCAATATTGACGCACAATTCGGGATAAATCGTCTGTAATAATTTATTAACCCGAGAAATCGGCGTAACTTTTTCCATGAGTCGGGTAGGGGATAATTCCTAATGGCGTCGACTTCTGTTGCTATTGGTGTGATGCCTTGAGAAGTTATATTGTGACCTAGGAACTGTAAAGATTCTTTTCCGAATTCACACTTCTCAATATTTATAGAAATGCCATGTTCTCTGAGTCGCATAAATAATTGCCGTAGTTGTTGTATATGCTCATCTTTAGTGGTGCTAGCTACTAATAAATCGTCGATATACGCGTATACCCCAGGTAAACCTCTAATGACCTAATCGATAAACCGTTGAAAGGTTTGTGCTGCGTTAGTCAGTCCAAAAGGCATACGCAGGAATTCATATAGCCCAAATGGGGTTGTTACTGCTGTCTTCGGTATGTCTTGTGGGGCAACAGGAATGTGGTAGTATGCTCTG